ATTCTGCATTGGTTAGATTCGTTGACTGGATAGATTGATTCGTTTCTGTATGTGCTTGTCACTACCTACTCCCAGGGTCGTGTGTGCGTCGGGGTGAGTGTTGGTGATTGGAAGGGGAGAGTAAAGGACATGGTGGGCGTCCGTGGTGGTAATGATCAGTGATGTCAAAAATGTTTTTTTTCATTAGTAAGATTTTTAAAATTCTGCATTGGTTAGATTCGTTGACTGGATAGATTGATTCGTTTCTGTATGTGCTTGTCACTACCTACTCCCAGGGTCGTGTGTGCGTCGGGGTGAGTGTTGGTGATTGGAAGGGGAGAGTAAAGGACATGGTGGGCGTCCGTGGTGGTAATGATCAGTGATGTCAAAAATGTTTTTTTTCATTAGTAAGATTTTTAAAAACCCTTTACCCCAAGGGGATTGTGCTGCTTCTGCAATTAGTGTCTCATTTAATGACGAACAGGTCACTCTTTGTTTCTGAATTGTTTCCTTCCCAAATATTTTTTCTGTTTTTAAAAGTTCCCCAGCAGGATCTGTTTACAATTCACTTTTTTATTTGTTTTATAAAAGGAGTGTAATCAAATTATTTGTGTTCTATTTCAGTACATCTGAAATGAGGAAGAACAGGTCTGCTTCTTACTTCCTCTGTCTCACACACAATATATACTGTGTATACTTATTCACGATTTTTTCCATTGTTGTTAACATTGTTTGCTTAGATTATGCTTACAATTAATATTCAGACAACAAGCACACGGATACATCTCTTCCCACTTTCTGTCTTGCAACAGCTCCATAAGGTGCTTTCATTTATTTTGGAGAGTGAAACTGGGTGTGAGAACATCCTTCACTCTTCATGCTAGTCTTGTGTCTGGCCTCTTTACTGGTACTAACAGTTCGTTAGCTCTGTTGGTTCTAGGACCTGAAGAAATCTGCGAAAGCTCAAAATCTGTCTTTGGACACCTCTACCACCCCCAAATTGATGTAACTTATGTCATTCAGGAGTATGAACAAGTCTCCCCTGCTTTGTGCTATCCATACTGGTGTGATGATGGCAAGAGATGCTCTTATGTTCACATAACTTATGCTTGTTGCTGAGGTGGAATTCGGGCCGTTTTAGCAGGTGGTGGGGTAACCCCCCATTCTGCTCCGAAGCCCCACTCTGCCTCTTCCCACCTCTAATCTGTCCCCCTCTGCCACCATTGTACCCCTTCCCTGAAGTTCCTTCTCCCAAGCTAGGCAACGTGGGGAATTACAGGGGAGCTTGGTATGTAGTGACAGCAAGGGTTGGGTCATCGCACTTCCTACGGCAGCAGAAGCTGCAGGAAGCAGAGCGATTCAGTAGCTTGCTCCTCTCTTCTGCCATCTCCCAGACAGGTCACTCTGTTTCCCTGTGGCAGTGGGAAGCAGAGTGCCCTTTTCGCTCCCGCAAGTGATGAGGGCTGAAGGGAGCAGGGGGGCCCAACCCCCGCTACTGCCCCATGCCAGGCTGCATAGGTAATCCCCTAGGCTTCCTTGGGCCTTATAGGACAACATCAGTATGGGGGACTATCCCATCCATAGAACGGTTGGGGCAGCCACCATAGGCTCCCCGGGGCAGCCACCCCAAACTGTCCCATTGATGGGTGGAGTAATTTTGCTGAGGGGAGAGCTCACTGGACATGCTACAGCAGTGGAGTTGTGTCAATGTAGCACAGTAGTGTAGATTTGCCCTTTGTCACCAAAGGAAGTTGGTCCAATAAAACATGTTACTTCACCCTTCTTTTCTCTCCGGGGATACTAGCAGTGGTGTAAACATCTGTCCGCCAATTGAGGACTTATATTGGAATGAATTGATAGTAAAACTGATCATTACTGATCCTGTTTGGATCCTAACCAGTTAGTTGAATGGTACCTCATCCAAATCTCTTGAGGAACATGGTTGGTCTGGAGCAGGCATGTAAAACTTGAAGCCTACTGAGGGCCACACAAATGAAAACTGATAGCTTTCAGGGCCACCAAAGAAAATGTACTTTCAGAAAGTTGTAATTATTTATTATTATAAATTATGTTTTAGGTGTATTTTTATAATTTTTCAGGTCTTGTTTTAATATAATACAATAATTTGATGTGTAAAATTGTTATTTGCCCATATAAAATAATTTTTAATTTAAATATAAATGTAAGGTACTTTTTAATTTTTTATGAGATACATAATTTGTTTTGTTGAAATAAAAACAAGTATAGACCATGGTTAATCAAATAGAATAGGCTTCTGTAAAAATTTCAGATACTTTGTAAGTTTGAGATTTTGCATAAACATATAATCATGCAATTGCAAAAAATTGACACATTTATTGATATAAAATTGATATACATTTTGTGATTTTATTTGGGAACAAATACATAAAAAACAAAATGTTAACAAAATATCCTCCTCCTCTCCCCCAGTTCCAGGCACTCCTATACCACCGTTCTAACCCACTCCCCCAGAGCCCCTCCCCTGTTCTAACCCAATGCCTCATCCCTCCCTCAGAGCCAGGCACTCCCCCACTCTAACCCAATGCCTCCCCCAGAGCCAGGCACTCCCAGCCCCCCCAACCTAATGCCTGCGTCCCGGAGCCATCACCACATATTTCTTTCTCAGGCCCTGGGGTGGCGTGAGCACAGCAGTCAGCTGTGAGCAGGTACTTGATGCCTGTGCAGAGTGGCAGCCAGCTGTGAGCATGTGCTGGACCGCCCAGCGCAGAGCGACCTAGCCGGCCGTGAGCAGTCTCTGAAGCATCGTGCGCAGAGTGGCCTGGCCAGCTGTGAGCACATGCTGGGTGCCGTGCGCAGAGCGCTATAAGCAATTACTGTGATGCAATGTGCAGAGCGACCGGTTGGCCGGCTGTGATCTGCACTTGGCCACGTGCTCTGAACGGCCAATGGGCCGCACTTTATTCTTTTATAAAAATGTAGTGGCGGGCCACAAAAAAATTTTGATCAGGCTGCATGTGGCCCGCCAGAGGCCTGTTTGATATGCCTGGTCTAGAGGTCCCTTTTGGTACTTTAAAGAGGCCCCAAAACTAATAAAACAAAAATTGTAGTTCATGGGAAAATATAGTCCTAGCTCATCTGGCTTAATTTAAATGTTACTATGTCGGTGCGTCACATAGTTGCAATAAAACGTGGGAGTTATTGTGGTGTGGCTATGCAGATGTTTATATTTATATGGATGATTAAGTGTGATGAATTAACTACTAAAATACATTGTCTGCAGCACAGCCCTCCTCAGATCCCAGCAGCCATGGGAGCTGTGGGAAGGCTTCAGGAATGTGCTGGTTACAGGGATGTGCTGCCTGCTGCTTCCTGCAGCTCCCACTAGCTGGGAATGGCAAACCATGGCCACATGGAGCTGTGGGGGCCATGCCTAGAAACCATCAACAACAGCAAAATGTCTTGCAGTCCACCAGCTGATTGATAGGCTGTGAGCCAAAAGATTGTCAACCCCTAGCTGGGGGCAAAAGTTAATAGTACTGCCCTCTCAGTGCTCTGTGTGGCCAAATGGCAAGAATCACCCTTTCCCTCAGAGCTGCTTGGTCCAATGGCCAGAATTAATATAACTGACCTCTCTTTGAGGACTGTGTGGAGTAGTGGCCAGGGTGGAAGCGTGGTAGGCGGACCTAGGCCCTCACTGATCCACAAGATCCCAGCTCAGGGCCTTAGAAGTGGCAAGTGTGCTCCACACTGGCTCAGCAGGGGGATCCATCCAAAATACACTAACATCATCCACCAAAATGACTAGTCTCCCTGTACTACTTCCTACCCTGGTCCTGGGCAATGGTTTTGGCATCTCCAAGTTCTTGGTCTCCTCAGCCTGCATGGCTCTCAGCCGCTTCATAACTCCTTGAGCATTGGGGATGTGAAAGGTTAACCGCTATGTATCACCCTTAACGGGTGATACTTACTGGTCCTGGTTAACCATTAACTGGTGGGGACTGGAGCAGCTTCCTGAGTGCCATGTGCAGGGGGCTGCTCCAGCTCTGCAGAGGTCCTGCTGTGGACAGGGTCTGCCTTTAGTGAGGGTGAGCGTCTGCTCCTGCTAAGCTGGAGTGCCTCCCTATGCCCACTTTAATTGGTTAACCATTTAAATAGGATTTTACATCACTATTGGGCATCTGCAGGAGCTGGGCGTTCACCTTGGCAAAGCATCCCTTGTTTCCCTCACTCAGGGCCTGAGCCGTTCCCAGGGTAACACCATGAAATCCATCTTCCTTCTTCAGCAGTTCACCCTGGATGAGCTGGGCTTCTCCCTTTTATACATGGGCTCCAGCTGGAGCATGCCCAGCAGGACTGAAGGGGCGTGGCCTCTTCAGTCCAAAGGGTGGAATTAACACTTGTGGTACCACTGTGGGACAAGTATGCCCTGTCTTACCAATAGTTCATACAGTCATATACAAACAAGTTGTGTTAAAAGTTATTTAGATTGCAAAGTTGATAGCTGAACACTTTGAACATTAGAGAATACTAGAGCTGAAGTTGCACCATCTCCTCCCCCATACACCCCAGTGTGTGCTGTATGGTATTGTCTCTGTTCATATAAACATACTATTTTTTCCCATAGGACACTAGCCTCGTTCTCTATGCTGGCTAAATGGTACACTGAGGTTTTTTACATGTTTTGGGTAATGGGGATTTTAGTCAGGGAAGAAAATTATTCTTTTTCAGTTTTGAAGAGATCTTATTTTTCCCATGCATTGCATAAGTGATCTGTGTCTCATACTAATGATGATCAGGATTAGAATAAGCAGTGTAAGTACCTATTAAAAAGTAACAAAGAAGACTTTATGAAATATTTGTTGGATACTACATTGCAAACCTCTGTAATTATAGAAGTAATTAACAGTGCCAGATTAACTCTTTTGTGGCCCCGAGGCTATTAGATTTTGCAGGGCCCCCAAGACCATGGTGTGGGACCAAATTCAGGTGTTCAAAATGCAGGAAGGGGCTGTAGGTTGAGACAAGGGGCTGGATGCAGGAGGAGGTGAGGGATCTGACTATGGATATGGGCTCTGGGCTGGGGCTGGGGATATGGCACTTGGGGTGCAGGAGGGTGCTTCAGGCTCCAAAGGAAGGGGCATATCTGACATACTCTCTTCCGTCCCTATCCTAAACCAAAACTCAAACAGAGTAATTTTTGTACATTAGTTTTAAAACATAAACATCCATACTATTATTTATTGTAATATTTCATTTCAGGTTGGTATTGCTGAAATTAATGTTCACAGAAGAAGAATCACAGGGTTATATGCATGTCTAACTAAACTGGCAG